CTTCACCCAAAACTTAGTCTAGAACAAAATATTGTTCTCAAGGTTGCACTTAGAGGCTGAAGCTCTTTCAATAATTGAAAGCCATTAATGAGTATATCAGTATGAGTCTTTTAGTTTAGCCATGATGCAATTGCCCTATATATCTTTATGGGTTTTCTTAATAATTAATAAACATATAGTACTGGTCTAACCATGAGTTATAAAAAAAAAAAAATATTATATATTGTATTATATAATTGGCTTAAACTATAATTTATTAATTCATTAAATATATAAATACAATTTATTAGAAAAAAAAATACTTTCCATCAATCATCAAAATCACAAATTTTCAGAAAAAAACCTAAACAAAATTTTGTTCAAAGACAAGTAAAAAGAGCCTGGAGATAGTCCTTCCAAGGCTATATACAATAAAAATAAATTGTCTATCTTAGACATTATCTTAACAAATAATAAAAAATCAAAAATCTCTGTTATTTACAAATAAAACAAAACCTCACTCATCTATGCAACAAAACCAGCCTCTCACCTCCAAGTCCTTATTCTTCAATACTACCCTACATCTTGACTAATTTCAACTATCAACCCCCCAATTCAGATCTGAACTTAGATCTATAAATCATTTACATCAAGTTTGAAATCAAAAAACAGATCCTATTAGTCTTTTCCTCTTCTTTCAATGTCTCAATCAAAATTCTTCTTTACAATGACCTCACTATTCTCAACAAATTCATGAAACACCAATTAACCTTCCATTTATTAGAGAACGATAGAACACTTGCAGTTTATCAGGTCATCAAAAACACAATAGATTATAAACTTCACTTTCCTTGAAACCAAATCTTTATCTCTATCAACACCAACTTTAATACTTTTTTTTTCAAAAAAAGAAAAATTCACATATCCCCTCCAAACACTTCCATGTTACAAGGCACTGATCAATAGCTCACTAAAATTATAAATCAAGATTTACTTTATCTACCTGCAACAAATTTAATCAATAAGGAAGGCAATCAACTTCTTACTGATAACAAATCAGACAATTTGCTTCAATAATAGCATACCTAAATGCACCAATGAAAATCAAACTCCTTTAGATCAATATAGAAATTGACCCCAGTAATAAACAATCAACTTCCTCCTTATGGATTAATAAAACTGAAGATATATTTGATTTTGAAGACATTAAAAATGCAAGTCCCCCAGACTACTAATACTCTATTACTGAAACAGCTGCAATCATTAACAATACCACTCTCTCACCAAAATCTCTTGTGGAAATGTTTATAAAAATCAGAAATCTTTCTTGCATTTTACCCCAAAGACCTTATCAGCAGTCTTTACAAAAACCTCGTACAGAAACAGAACATTTTTTAGATCTTTTGTCAAATTTTAAGAGCTAAAAGGAATCTATCAGAGAGAATATAAAAGCTAGTAAAAGACTTTCAGACTAATTATCTCAATAAACACAATATTGATTATATTAATAGGACTACTAAAAAAAAAATCAGCATCACATCAACAAATTTATCTTTATTACATATCTCTGAACCTTAGATCTTCATATTCTCCAATACTGGCAAGCAGCTCAAATTCTAGATTATGACTTCAATTACTTCATTGATCCATTTACAGAGAAAATAGATTACAAAGAACTCTTGACATACTTAGAAGAACTCATTAAAAATATTCTTCTGAAGCTCCTCAAACACTCTAATGAAATCCCCTCTAGAATCAAAATTAAATTGTCTTATACCCTCTCACTAAATGCTCCTTTCATGATTGTTCCAATAGCTCGAGTACTAAGATGCTTTTACAACTTTGATCTTTTACCTAAAAGCTTTTTCAAAAAATTACCAAATCTTCCATCTGATCCTGAAACCTTCCCTCTGAATTCAAATTTATTTTTCCCATTGTAGAACATGTACAACTCTGTATTCTCAGACAACTAGTTAACCAACTATAATAAAAGTTCTACATCCTTAACAAACTTCTGAATGAATATTTCAATCTTCTCTCTCCAAAAATCAATTTTTCTGATATCTATCAACAACTTCCTCAAGACCCAACTTCCTTATTCCCCATATCCAATGATATCCATTATATTAAACAAGTCTCAAAAACCTTTCGAGATAATAATTATACCTTTAAATTGTTTCCAAAAGATTACTTGATTCAAAAAATGCCCCTTCTATTACCCCACTGGCATAGCGAGAATACTGGCATAGAATTATCTATCAAAGACCAATCTCTGATTAAAACTTTTATTCAGCAATTATCCCCTCTCTACTTATTCAAATTATCTCTTGAATAGATCCATTCCTTAAACAAACTAATTGATCTTTCCTTCCTAATAATTTTGAAGTAATTGAAAAGGAACTAGATCTTTCAAAAAATGACTTCAATAGAAATAACTCCTTGTTTAGTGATAATATCAAAAAAATAAAAAATAAATATCTGGGTCCAATTCTTAGAGAATAGATCCAACCAGTCCTTCCAATTCTTCCAGACCTCCAACCTCGAATAAAATCTTGAAGAAAAAGGAAGCAAATATTATCCTGTCACTAAAAGAGAATAAATCCTTTGCTGAGAAACTAAACATCCTAAAACAATACTTCTATTTCCAAAAACTCCCAGAAAACTTTGTGGAAGTATCAGAGCTACCCAATCCCAATATGGCTTACTTCCTCCTTCTTTATTAATTATGAATCACATATCTAATTCAAGTTCTTTCTTTGTAACAATAGATCTCAAACAAACTTTCTTAAATCAAATAAATACCATTCATCAAATCTCTCAATCAAAAACAGTAAAATCAAAAATCTACTCTCAATCTCAATTCTTAACATCCAAGGTTTAAAGGATTTAGGAAAATTACAATATCTATTAAATTCTCCAATCAACAAAAGGCAAATCAAAATCTGTATCAAAACCAAACATATCTCTTCAAAACCACTTTCCAAAAAAGCAAACAATAACATAATTATATCAAGTATGTCTAAAGAAATTCCTAACAATGGCACTTGTATAATTCTTTCTAAAACTCTTTCAAACCATATCACTGAAACATTTTCTCTTAACGAATTTTGATATGCATATATCTCAAGTTTAAATCTTAAATATATATCATTATAGTAGCTCTTTATCTTCCCCATTCCATCCCTCATAGAGATATCACTTACTTATCTCTAAAACAATAGCTTCACTTCCATAGAAATTATGAATTTATTATAGCAGGAGACTTTAATACATATCTCTTAAAATTCCTATTAATCAATGCCCTAATAAATAATTGCAAATGAAAAATCTACAGAATAATGAATAATATGATAAATGCTAGCAAGATCATAGCCAAAGAACACCTTTACACACATTATATTAATACAAGGGCTTCCAGAATAGATCAAGTGTGGCTTTCTCTCAAACTGACAAGCAAGATTCTAAATTATCCTGTTTTTGACTCTAGTGACATCAAAACAGACTATAAAGACATTACAATAATTTTTCAGTAATTTGAATACAAATCACAAAGAATTTCCTACTCAATAAAAATGTACCTATTCAATAAAGCAACAAAGGAACAATTAAACTCCTTCATCGAAAACATTAACTTAGCCTTGAAAATAGAACTGTGCATCAAATGGCATCAATTCAAACTTATAATAAAAAATGCTTTAAATTCTAATATCCCGACAAAAAAGCAACAATATTACACAAAACCAAAACAACTATTTCTTGATATTAATCAAGCTATAAGATAACTGAAAAGTTCCATCAATAAAAACAGAAGTAAGCCTTCCAATATCTTTCTCATAGGCAAAGCAAAGTCCTTTCACAAAAAAATATCTAGCCTCACTTCAACAATTGGAACCATTAAAAAAACCCTTAAAGTATTATTATCAAAAAAACAAAAAAGAATGGCTGACTATATGGCTAAACAAATCTCAATATGAGTTAAAGAAAACTACTCAAATTTTTGGAAAAGACTCAAACAATATATTTCAATAGCACTTAATAACCTTAAGCCATCCTTGGACCTATTCATCCTTTATGATGACACCCAACTATAAAATAATCCAGATATATTTTATAATATTATAATTAGTTATTATCGCAAACTTCTTATATCAAAAAAGTTTTCTATCAATAAAGAATGGCTCCCTGACTATAGTTCTAGTGACCAAATACCTATCTATCTATATTATATCACATTTGCCACAATCGATCAAGTTGATATAGAAGAATCAATCTTATCCTTTCCTTTGAATAAAGTACTAAAATCTCTTATGAAGTCTGGAAACATATCAGTTTACATACTCAAAAGACATTTGAAAGCTTCTAAATAAAATTCTCAAAACTGGTTATATCCTAGCATCCTAAAAAAAATCAGTCATCACTCTACTTCTTAAAAAACTAGTGTGGTCTAATAACCTCTCAGACACCAGATCAATTGCTCTAATTGAAACTAGCTACAAAATTTTTACAAAGATACTTAATACAAGGTTATTCTTCATCATCACCAACAATAATATTCTCTCACAATCTAACTATACAAACACAAAAAATCAAAGTATTATGGAGCTTATTTCTACCTAATGAATACTTCTATCAATTTAATAGAAAAATTCTGGATAACTTTATTTGATATCTCCAAAGAATATGATTTAGTTAACCTTAATAGCCTTCTATCAGCTATAAATCGAATCAAAATCCCACAACAAATTTCATTAATCATATTGAATTTATTAATATATAGATCTTTTCAATTCATATTACACTACAATCTTACCACTCTCCTATTGATTTCTCAGGATCTAGACCAAGAAGAAACTATAGCATCCCTTCTTTGAACTATTTTTTATGACCCAGTAATCTCTAAAATCGAGTCAAATTTGCTAAAGAACAACAACATATTTACCTATATCAATAATATAGCTATATTCATATACAAATTAACAACCTTACAAAATGCCACCAATATTTTCACATTCTTTGTAAAGATGAATCATATCATATACAATAAAAACAAAATAAACCTCATAATTAGCCACTCTTTAAAAAGTAATGAATACAAAAAGAAACTTATAGTGAAAGATATACTGATACCCCCAAAGTCTATAAATCAATCTATCAAGTATCATAAAATATATCTATCAGGCAAATCATCATCCACCACAAAAAGAAAATTCAGAGAAAAAGTGAAAAATTACACCAAATATATAATGGAACATGAAACTGAAATGGATTCATAACAACTCAAGTATTCAAATGAATTATCCCAGCTTAACTAGAGTATGCCCTGCAGATAGCAATAATCAAGGCCAATGATATACAAAAACTTCAAGCTCTTTTCAACCATCTTATTAAATATAAATTAGGCATAGAAAGAACAATATTTAACAAAGCTCTATATTACATTTCTCAAAGCTCGAAAGAATCAAACTATTATAAAACATTAACATCAATACTCAATAACAGTAAAACTCTTCCTCATATAAAAAAAGAGATCTTATCTATCCAAATGAGCACAGCAATCTGGGCTTGCCCAATTTGTCAACCCAATTTATTTTCAAATATCAACTCCTGAATACTAGAAGCAGCTCTTATAGGCCTCTTATATAAAATCAATATTTGTTCTAATAATTATTCATTTCAATACAAGGATCCACATCTCTTAATAAGGCTTTATCTATTGATTAACAAATCGATAGCTATTACACTATCTAAATCCAATGTCAAAAATATCAGATATCTTCTTCGATATAAGTCTCTTGAAAAAAACACATAGTCAGAATTTTATACTAAAATCAGCAAAATCTTATCAGGCAAAACCCCACTTTAATTTGATAACTTTTAATCCAATATATCAAACCTAATTAGAGATACTCTCCCTCATATAAATTTATACTCCTCATTCTAAGCATTTTTCAACAATAACAAGTTTGACTTTATTAAAAGACGCAAAAATATCAAGAACACAGAAACTATAAAGAAAAGATACTATATCCTCAAAAATAATAACAATAATAATAACTTACATCAACTGATTCCCTGCTCTTGTCTGGTACAATCATGTATAGTCTCAAATTCTATTTTTAATATCAATTCAACCTAGTATATCATGTGAAATAATCTTCCCTACCTCTTAAATAATATTAATGAACTCAGACAACACATTTTCACTTTATAAGCTCCTTAAAGCATTCCAATCATAAATATACTATCCCTTCTTTCACTTACAACCTCAAGTCCTAAAAAGATATTTGGTATCAATACTTTAATACTATCAAATTAGAGATTAACAATATCTCAACTCTCTATCCAAATCTTTCCCAAACATAAAACAAATTATGGACCATCTTAACAGACCTAATATAATCAATTCCAGTAGGTTCAAATATCGAATGCAATCTCAAAAATTCTCTCAACTTCTCAACATCATCGTACTTAAATAAAACATCAAACTCCCTTATAGTCACTTTAGCAACTATTGTCAAAACCTCTACAAATCAAAAAACATCTCATTGATCTTTAAAAACACTTATCTGCAATCAACACTATAACAAATCAAACCATAAAAGAGATACTTATACTCTCAATAAACAACTATAATGCATTACCACTTATCAATAACTAAGTTGAAACCAGTTGCATCTAGTGAATCAAGTTTATTAATTCATCAATCAACCTCATCACCATCACTACTAGCCAAAACTATTTTCTCAAATCTATCAATATTCAGAATTTTATCTTATTCAAATAAGCAAACAAGAAGTGCTGACATATTGACAATTACCTATTCTGATTACTATCTATATTCAAAACCAAAATTTTCTTTAACAATCTTCTCACCAGAGCCAAACTTTATAATAGATATCCTTCTCTCTACCCATCACCCAAATGTTCCTGATATAACAACACAATTAAAAATCTAGAACATGTTTTTAAGTGTATAGAAAATAGAGAATTACTTAATAAAAAACTTCCTAAATTCAATAGCCTTCTTAAAAAAATTCTATAAAAACAAAGCCAAAAAAAAAAAATTACTCTATATAGGTAAATACCCATAATATAACTATTATACCAGCAGATAGTAGAACACTCTTAAATATTTTTTTAGAAATCTTCAATCAGATTCTTGAACAAATTTAAAGTAACAAAGTAAAGGTTAAAATTATAAATAAGGCTCTAAAAATTTTACACAAAATATAAAAAGAAAGATTCATTACTACTACTACAGTACCACTTACTGGCATCAAATAAAAATCCACAAAAGCAACTAGATAATTACCTGATAATTAATCACCAAACCAATTCCATAAACTTCTTAGTACTATTTTAACAGTATCAAATGTATTTTCAAATTCTACTAGCTACTCTATCTTATCTCCAGCAGTAATAGTATCATTTTTGGATGAGTAATTGCTATTCAACTCTATTCTGGCATATCCAGTCACAGATTGCAAGTGTGTCATAATAGGACAATTGCAATAGGCATTAGTTAATTTATTCAGGTATCACAACCTTGTAAAGACTATTTATGTAACTGTTTATGAATTAATTTTCTAATAAAAACTTGTATATATTGCTCATTTGCAATAAAAAAAAAAAATACAATTTATTAGAATAATAATATAGATTATTTATTAAATATAATAAACTTATTATAAGCAATAATAATCTTCAAAAAATTTTAAAAAACTTTTTTTATTAATCTATTTATTTTTTTTTTTAAAAATATATATATATATATATACAAATAAACAACTATTCATCTTGGCAAACTATAATATATAAAAAATATGATAATTGATATTAGAAATAGTATTTATTAAGATAAATATGACCTATGGGTCTATAGTACAGTGGTAGTACTTCCAGGTTACAATTATAAGGTCTAGAGTTTAATACCACTTAAGGGTCAAGTGAAAAAATACCACACACAATGAAATGATTCCATTGAATGACAAGTTAATACTTGTCATTGGGCACAGCCCTGGCTATCTTACTGATACCTGAAATGAAAGAACCTGCTGTAATATGGTTTTACCTATAGCTGATCTTTACCAGATCAGGTTAGTTTATGGGTGTTATGGATAATCAGTATCTTATTATTACCATAATAAGATGGAAGAGAATGGAGCAGATCTCATGATAAACTAATACAGAAACTGGATTGACGAAAACACTCCATCGATCTTACTGACTGATAAAAAAATTGTCAAGTTAAGAAGGCTAAAGTCCTGAAGAGAGTAAATATTGTACTAGTGGGATGCTTAAAAGCATGATCAAACTTGCCTGTGACAAATCTTCGGAAGACCTTGATGGGAGGAGAAATCCACAGACCACATTGAAGTTCCAAAACTGAGGATAGGTTAGAGTATACGCAATGGTCTGATAACTAAATTACTCTATAAAATTGTTCTAGGAAAAATTAAAAGAGTGTCCTGTGATTTCTCTTAACAGGGCTAGTTAATATATATAGTATGTAATACATTTACCATGTATAAATCATCATATATACAACATTATTTTATAGTAAATAAAAACTACAGACTTCGAATATGATGTTCTCTTGAAATTGTATCTGGCAGATAGCAGGGATCCTCATCAATATATTTTGTTGTTAAACTATAAATAGGTTTAAAGTTTTCTATTTATCGGAAGTATAGCTCCTCCGAATGAATGTACTTGTCTATTAAATTTCAATAAAATAGTCTATCTTGTTTTTCAAAAAAAAAGAAAAAAAAATTAAGATGAATATAATTTAATTGACTTGATATTTCTTTCTTAATTTTTAAAAAGAATATATATATATATACTGTATATATAGATTAATTTATAATTAAAAAACATAAATATACATTATTTTTTTTAAAAAATCTCTTTCAGCTAATCCTCTGACCACACACAAAAAAGATGTTTACAAGAAGATTTTATTCTTAATGACTAATAAAATCTTCCTACTTTTTTTAAAACAACTTGAAGCTTATTTTTAAAAATCATTATTATCCTCCTTTATTTGTTTACAAACTCCTTTAAATAAAAACTTGAATCTCTGGTAACCTGAATAGACTCAAGTATATACTTCCTTTACTAAAAGCAAGAAGGTTCTAGGAAGTAAAAGGATTAGCTTGTAGAGTATCTTCTTTCAAAGCTGGATATAATATGAATATAAAGGTTTTCTAGATAGAGGAAGGCTTATTATCCATCTTCTCACATACTGTCTCTTGCTCTTTTAGAGTATCTACTGTTTTTTTTACAGTTTTTTGAAAGAATTTCGCCTATCCCAGCTTGACCCTGAATTTTTGATAGCACAACATCATCTGGTTTCTGATTGGTTAACATAAAATATGTTGGTAGCAAGATATAAACAAGATTCCATAAGTTATATATACATATTCTGATGATGTCATTGATAAAATAAAAGAGAATCAATTGATATACAATCCTTTACTCCTTCAAATGAAGTGTAACCGAAACAAAAAATCTATAAAACTATTAGAACAGACACTAAATTTTCTAGGTGGTGAAAAGGTAATTATTTGTTCAAGCTGAGGTCTTTAACTTCCTATTATCCCAGTCAGACAAAGTATATAAAGAAGGTTATTTTCTTATTTCGATCAGGTGATAAGATCAAAAAACAGAAGACTGTGAGCCACTACTGTTTTCTAGGATTATGAATGCATTTTCCTAGACATTGTATAATAATATAATAATCAATGAGAACCTTTACTACTTTTCTGGTACCTTACCACCATTGTTAAGCAAAAAGATCTTTGGGAATGACTATTTTGGACAATAAAAGATATACATTAGTAAAATTCCTTTAACTAGGTGTGGCTGCTGAAAAATATCAATAGTTACACAATATAACTAAAAGATTATATAAGAATCTGGGGTTCATTATAAGTCATGGCTTGGTATGGATAAATAAAAAATCAATACCAAAAGAAAGAAAATAACAGACAAGAAGCTGGATCTAAGTAGGTGATAAGTACCTCAGATAATGATGGGTCCTTAAAGTATTTAGCATATAAAATTTTACAGATCACTTATGTTCCTTTTTGTGAAACAAAATTTATAGCTCATACCTTTAATAGAAACAAAAGTCAGGAAATACTATATATCAATGATTTGAATAATAGAAACCAATTGTGGATAGTTTTTTTATAATTATTAATTTAAAAATTTTAAAGTTTTCTAGTAAGAGACATTTGATTTTTGTTCCTACCTTCCTCTTTAGGAATTCATTTTTACCTCTAGTGATTATAAAGGTTAAGAAAAACTTCTTATCAATAGCAAAAAAGTTCTAAAAGGAAAAAGAACTAATGTACTATTATCTTATACTATAAAGAAATACTACAGAAGTGTGTCTAATGATAAGAGACAACTTCCACACTTTCTTGTTATTGTTAACTTCTCATAGTACTTGTTCTTGATTTTTTTCTAAGAAATTTTGCCTACTTCAGTTTGACCCTAAATTTTGAGTAGCACAAAGTTTTTCATGCTGTAATTGAACAAATAAAGCTCATATTAGTAAAAGAATATAAACAAGTTTCTATTGATTATTTTATATATCTGAATACATTTTCTTAGCTTCATAAGA